TAGCCATCACCACAGATCCCTGTGGCTCAAACATCCTCTAATTATCATTTCATTCCTGTGATTTATTGTGGTAGTTGCTTTCACCTTGTCTTATATGATTAAGTACTGTCACCATGTACCTTTATTCACATTAAGATCAAGTAATCGGTTCCACTGCCGCATTCTCTACCATTGTCTCCAGCATCCAGAGCACAGACACACAGAAACATTCAAAGATGCTTGGTGACCCTCTCACTACTGCATTTTTTATATTTTAGAGCATGCCTACACAAATGTCCCTATATGATATATCAGGGTTCCACTCCTTCCCTACTTGCATCCTTACCTTATTGTAAAAGCCATAGCAGGTAGAACACTTAATAGGCAATGGGACTCTGTGACACTATGAGTACCCTGACTTCGTCCTCAGCTTTATATATCATGCAAGCTTTCTAGTGTTCAACATGTATTTTCTGTTGTATTTTCACAGCTTTCAATTTCCTCTTTTCCCTATGCACACTTTTTAGGACCATCAGATACCTCCACAACTTTTTGGATACTTATTTTCAACACAGTATTTAAATGTCACATCCGATTTCCCAAAACTTTGGATTCCTATACTTCATTCCATGCCACCAGGGGCGTTAATTTGACTGTAATACTGATACATGCCATGTACCAGTGAATCTCTCCTAACACTTGTTTTCCACTCTCCTTACCCCCATTGTAAGGAGGTTATTTTTCCCTCTTCAAATGATCAACCCAATTCCTGTAGTAACTTTTGGTACTTACTATTATATCTGACAAGTGCATGGCAGAAAACAGGGGGCACATTCACATTAGAAAATGTGAGAGCTTTTTTTTTTAATTTTCAAAGATTTTATTTATTTGACAGAGATCACAAGTAGGTAGAGAGGCAGGTGGTGGGGCGGGGGAAAGCTCCCCACCGAGCAGAGAGCCCGGCTCGATCCCAAGACTCTGGGATCATGACCTGAGCTGAAGACAGAGGCTTTAACCCACTGAGCCACCGAGGTGCCCCAGGTTTTTTCTTTTTTTAAAGGACAATATACAATGGTGTGGGAAGACTATTTGAGAGCTGAAAGGAACAACGTAGTATTCCATGGCTAGTAAATGTAGGATTACCAGGCCTACACCTGAGAGACAAAGGGAGAGTAGATTTACTAAAAGCTGGAGACACATAACTTATGTTAAGAGGGCCATCTTACAGAAACCTTTGGAGAAGAGCTCAGCATCTGGTGACAGTGCAGAAAACAAACTGGGTGGAAAATTTCCTGACCACATTATTCACTGCTGGTTCCCAAAGGACAAGGGAGTCCTTTGATATAGTTCATACATGTCAGACTTCCCAGGATACAGAAAGAGAGGAGAGTGAATCCAGATGAGATGGAGACAAATCCAGCAACCGGGTGAGAGTCATATTAGTAGTAGTCACTGGGAATTATGCCTGCAGTGAAAAAGGGTACACCATCGGCTTTATTTACATTTTAAGGAGGAAACTAAAAGGCATATTGTTATTAGAGGGTTAATCCAAATAAGACTGGGATTTGTCTGACCTATTCTACTGAAATAAGAAATGACCCTGTGTAATACTGTCCTATGGTAAAGGCATTAAAGATACTAAGAGTATTGTTTTGTAACCACAAGTCTGAAGAGTTATGGATGTTTTGTACCAGCTTGTTGTTTATTGGTAAGAAAAAGGTTGATTATTTGCACCTGGTCTTGGTGAACCTTCCCATCAAGAGCTCTGCTGTTGAAGCTGGCTACATAGCAAGGATATGCCTACATAACCAGCAGTGTAGGAGAATCCTGGGCAGAGACTCCATTTGTGCTCTCTGGTTCTGAGGTATTCTGTGTACACATCAGTGGTTCCTGGCCCAAAAGAAGAAGTACATATTGCCAGGATTACTATAGAGAGGGCGGACAATTGGAGCTGGCCACTCCAGACCCCTCGTTATGAAATGGCTTTTAGTTGTGACACATATTCTTAATGCTGTTGCTATACTGCATCTTTTTTTCAACACTAAACTATGGATTTGCAAGCATTGACATTTGAAGTCCCATGAGCCTTCTTTAGCAATGGAACTGTTTAACTGCTATAGATATCATAGCATCTAAAGAAGGAACTACACAATACTATGAGATGCCTTCCATTTGCCTTTTGTTTATAAATATGATTTGCTCTGAAGACTCTTTCAGGTTCTCTTCAGTAGATATATTAATCCTTGACTTTATGTATTTTCTTTTAATTTTTATTTTTTATAAACATATAATATATTTTTATCCCCAGGGGTACAGGGCCTTTATGTATTCTTATTCCCTAACTTTGTTTTATAGTTTAGAAAGACCTTCATCTCCCATCCCTCTCAGAAATAGATGTTGCAATTATTTTCTTCTGCTTACCTATTGGTGGTTCACACTTAATATGACTGAGTTCATAATGAATATATAAGTCAGTGGACATTGGCCTTCAGGATGAATCAGAATCACATAGGAAGCAGTAGATCTGAGGTAGGGGTCAGGAATTCACATTTTCAACAGAATCCCCCAGTGATTCTGACATGTGGCAGACTAGCACACTTTAAAAACATGCAAGCATTAATAAAATGAGATAGGGTTAAATTTGTAGTAATATACTTCTACATGGTGTTCCATTTGGAACTGCAAGTAAACCCTGCTAGAGAAGTATACAGTTATTTATCTAGACAAGAAATTATCTGGGGTGGGAACAACTATTTTTATTTATAAATTTATTAAGAACCTGTGACTTGTCAGACACTGTGCTAGGCATTAGAGGTACTAGGATAGAAAGGAAAGATTGTGCTTTGAGAAGCAGAGTCCACGGCGGTGTTTCTCAGTTTTTTAAATAAGTGTCAGTCCACAATCATAAATACATTTTTCATCAGAACTCAGGATGTACGAACATACATATACATAACTGAAACACAAATTTCACAAAACAATTCTCACCTTACCTGTGATGTGATATAACCTGATTATTTACTATTTGGCTCTAATCAGTTTTGTTTTACCCTACTGTCTTAATAAATTGCAGGTCTTGACTCACTAAAATTGTTTTAGGGTCTATTAATGCAGGGAATGTGGAACCAAAGTTTAATACAGTTAAACTACAGTTTACACGGTTAACACAGTTTAACAAAGATAATATGACGTATATCTTATGTAGTACATGTATTTATTATTCTGGACACATATCTCATGTGAAGGTGGAAGTGGGGAGGTTAGGTAAGGTCTCCTTTAAAAAAGTGCCTTTCAAACTTTAATACATACAGAAATCAGCTACAGATCTTGTTAAATGAAGATTCTGATTCAGTACGTCTTGGATGAGGACTTGAGATTCTGCATGTCTAACTCTCTCTCAGGTGATGTCGATACAGCTCATCCATTGGCCACTATTTGAGTAGCCATGCTCTAAAAACCTTAAGTGTGGGAAGCTGTGTTAATCTTGTAAGCCTGCACCTGGCAAGAGTTTCCAAAGAGACAATTTCCTCTAAGGAAAGAGGAATCAAGTAGACAAGGCACTGACAGATGGGAAAACCAGTGTGTGCCACTAAGATTTTATTCCAGCCTCCCACATCTGAATTCGGTAGAGAGATAGTTGTATGCAAAAATATACTTACAAAGCAACAAACACAGAAAAGATTGTTTTGCTTAAAAAAAATATGAAATCCGTTAAGGGCCAAAGTATCATTGAGGTGTTAACCCACTTGGGTAAACATAACTCTAGAGAGGAAAAGGGCTTTATCCTCACCTCTATAGGTGACATTGTGTGAGACAGGTTTGGGGATGGTGGGGACTCCAAGGAAATTGACTGGGCTTTGTCACCTTGCAGACATCAGCCCATCAGCAGCAGTGGGAACCTTAAGAGTGTGCAGAACTCATGAGAAGAGGCACAGTATCCAGCAGACATGGAAGTACCCAGGGGAGGCTGGCACCCACCTTTTGGCCTTATTTCTGAGCATAGGCAAGCTGTACCTTATCCCTCTTTCAAGTGTCTGATGGCGGGGGGGGGGGGGGGTCTTGGTCCCTGCCAGTGTAGGAGAAAAGGTAGAAACTAGACCAGCACAGCTCACATACTCAGCACCTCATCTATTCCACTCGGCAATCCTATGAGGCAAGTATTATTCCCATTTCACAAATGACAAAACTGTCTTTTACAGCAATGGGTCTGTAGTAACTGCCAGGTTGAGTCCCCTAAATATGAGTCCTAGAGATAATGTGAGCTTTACACATCGTTTTAAGTTCTGATAAGAAATTTAAGTGTCTCCGTTGCCTTCATAAACTCACTGAAAAGATCTTTGTATTTCTTTTGTGTATTATTCTTCTTTTTATATTTTAGTATTTCTTTATGAGAAAAGTAGTCTATGTTCTTTAGGGAAAAAATATGAGTAGAAACAAAACAAAGAAAATAAGTCACCAACAGTCTTATAATTCAGAGAACCACTGTTAACCTTTTGGTGAACAAAAGTTTCTATTTTTCCTGTGCATAGATGTACTATATAAACTTATGTTTTCTACAAAGGTGGACTGATTCTGTAGATGATATTATAAGCTACTTTATTTTTCAAGAATTAAAACGACTTTGCAAAGCACATGGGTGGAAACCCCTACTGATAGAGTGTTCTAGTTGGCTCAAAAGGCTGCTGATAATGAGAGTGACAGCTAAAGCAAATTATTAGCATAAGGTTAAGGCACAGGACCTGGCAAATGCTTGCCAGGGGCACTACACAAAAGGAATGTCTTCAAAGTCCCTCTGTGGGGCTCTGCATCCACCCCTGAGTTCCCTTGGCCCCAGGGTGGAAAGGGTCCTGTAAACTTTTTTGTGTCCTCATAACCACCCCCCCCCAATTTCTGTCTGGTTTCCTTCACCTAATCCTCCACCCTGCCCATCTCATCAAATTCTCTTATCATCTCCTCATTGTTCAAATGCATATTGTATATGGCCTCCTCATATTCCTTGAGACACTGAGCCAGCCGCTGGTTTTTCTTTCGGCCTGCCTGGGTACATCATTCCCAGCTGGTGCTTTCCCACAGCCTTTGGTTCCCTGGCTGACTTTTCGTCTTCTTTTGGCTTTTTTGGTTCTCTGGCTTTCCCTCTTTTCATTGGCTCTGATTTTTTTTCTCACTCTCTGGATTTATTTCTTTTGGTTCTCCCTCGATCCCTGCTTCTCCTTCTTTTGGCTGTCCCTTGCTCTCTGGCTTCCCCTCACTCATGGGTTTTCCTTCTTCTTTTGGATTTTCCAGGTTTTCTGGCTTTCCCTCTTTGGGCTTTTCCACACTCCCTGGCCTTTCCTTGTCCTTCAGTATTTCCTCATTTTCTGTCTTTCCCTTGTTTTCTAACTTTTCCTTGTCTTCCAGAGTACAAGCTAATTCTGGCCTTCCCACATCCTGTGGCTGTTCTTTGTATTCCATCTTCCCTTGTTTCTCAGGCATTCCTTCATTTCCATTGCAGAGTTTTTCCATGTTGAGATTCCCCTCCTTTTCCTGTCCTGGGAGACAGAGGAAGAGCAGACAAGGGAAACTCAGGGCTTGGGGATGGAATGCATGTCTGGGAAGTATTTACATACCTCCCCTTGTCTGAGTTCCCTTAAGTTGGCCTGGTCCTTCAAGTGTGTCTTCAGCCAAACTCCTCCCACCATTCCTCTCACACAGGTGAGCCAACCATTTCTCTGTCAGGTCCTGCCATTTTCTCTTTGTTTGCTCAGCGTGGTAAAGTGTAAAGCTGCTGGGAGATGGGTAGTGGGGCTCCAGATTCTGCCCATGCTGTACAGTCCACACTCCCCACCACTCTAAGTCCCTGTCCAGACACCCCCTTCCTTCACTGACCTGCAGAAATTCAGAACAGGTATTTCTTTCTTTTCTAGCCTTGTAGAGGGCTGACAACAAACACACAGAACTGCAGACAGACAGGAGAGGTGGGCTGGGCATTCAGTGGATACACAAAGACTCTGGTCCCTTTTCTGAATCCCAGCCCTCCAAAGTGTCGTCTGTATACTATTTACCCCACTATTCCTCCTAACCATTTCCTCGGCAGGCCCTACCACCTTCTATACCATCCTTCAGCGTGGCTGGGTGTGTGCAATATATGTGGTGGCAATGGGGACATCAAATTCTGGCCAAGCTATACCCTCTACACTCCCCACCACTGTCCATTGCCCCTCCCCCCCTTCACTGTCCTGTGGGGATTCTGGACAAGTTCTTCCTTCTAGACTGGGGACAGACACCAGACGTGCAGACAATGACAAGGACAGGGCCTGTGCACTCAACCTACTAAGGTTTCTTTGCTGAATCTGGACCCTCCTCATACAACATTTTCCTTCCCTACCTCCTTGGAATCCCAGCCTACATTACTTTTCAGGCCTCAGATTCCAGACTTTCCAAATGGTTTGGGTCTCTGTGTCCTCCTCCGCTGCAGGCATGCCGCCCACCCTCTCCCCTTTTCCGCGGAGGTCAGTATTTCCTGTTAGGTACAGAGTGTGAGAGCGGGTTATTTCTAGAATATGTCTACATTTCACTGTCGCACTGCGGGGGGCACCTCCCCGCATTTCAGGTCCAAAAATGGATGGAGGGCGCGGAGGAGGGGCGTCGAGGAGGCGGCGGTGGGGTGCTCCCTCCCCACCTGCCCACGTCCACGCTGCATCCCCCTCCTCACCGACCTCCTGGACCCCCATCCCACTCCGCGCTGCTCCCGGATCCTACTCCCATCCACCTCCACCTCTGACCGGGGCCGCCGGTAGCGCCCACCTTCACACTGACCTGCGGGGCCCGGGGCAGGCCTGCGCCTCCTCGGGCTCGCTGAAGCCCGCTCACCCCTCGCCCGCCGCCCGGGCAGCTCAGGGAGCTGGTTCCGCGCGGGCGACGGGAGCGGAGGGCGCAGGGACGCGACCGCAGGGCGGGCGAACGGGCGGGCGCGGGGGCTGCTGCCCACGTCGGCGCCCAGCCAGTCACGTGAGCGCCGCGTCACCGAGCTCGGTCCCCCACCCCGCCCCCATCCCCCCATCCCCAAGGCACCAAGCAACCACACACGGTGGGGGGCGGGGTGGCAAAGGGGGAATCAAGGAGAGAGCAGGAGCCTGGAGGCTTCCAGACCGCAGGTGCTTTACCTGGCGCATCTCAGGCCCTCGCACTGCATCCCTCAGCGATATACGTCATTGCCAGGTGTGACCGCTGATCACAGGGACTGTACCCGACTTTGCCAGGAGCGCTCAACACCTGAGTCCCACAGGCTGCTTTCAAGACCGGCTCTGCCTGACTCCAGAGCCCAGACAGTAGTACCGCCAGGAAGCGGCACTGCCACCTTGAGCAGCTGTGTTCCTGGACCTCTTCTCTGTACCCATGTTCTCTCTCCCTGAATGATTTCTGCTCATTTCCCCCAAGCACAGATGATTCTCAAAGCTCCATCTCCAGGCTGTTCCCTCCCCTTAGCCCCAGACCCTCTTTGCCAACTGTCTATTGGATACCACTGCTTGAATGTCCCTGAGGGACCTCAAAATCCTTACACCCCAACCTTTTTTCTGCTACTTCCTTCTCACCTTCTCTGTTCACTTCTCTTCACACTTGAAACTTGCACTCCAATATTGGACCGGTTCTCATGTAGAATGTCAGACAGTGAAAAAGAAAAAAGGGAAGCATTAAGACATTTTTTTAAATGCACCACAGAAGCATAGATTCATCATAACCCTTGGTTCACGACACTCTTATTAGTAACCCATGTTTGTCTCTTTTCCTCTTTCACATTCGTGAAACCATCACCCAACCAGAGAACTAAAAAATTGCCAATATTGTAGCTTCTACTGTGTATTCTCGCTCTCACACACAGAGTATATGTGTGCATGAGTGTTTTTATGTGTAAATATGGGAAACTTCCATTTCTTTTTTTTTTTATTTTCAGCATAACAGTATTCCTTGTTTTTGCACCACACCCAGTGCTCCATGCAATCCGTGACCTCTCTAATACCCACCACCTGGTTCCCCCAACCTCCCACCACCCGCCGCTTCAAACCCCTCAGATTGTTTTTCAGAGTCCATAGTCTCTCATGGTTCACCTCCCCTTCCATTTCTGTTTTGATTTGCAAAATGCCACATCTTGTTTAAGCAGTTATGAATTATGTGTGTGACACAATCAATTCTAACTATGTGTCTGCTACTTATTTCTTAATTTAGCAAAACATTGATCTTTCTATAATGTTTTGCTCTACCAAAGTGTATATTCACATTATCACCATATAACAAAAATCTTATCCTCAGTGTTGAATTTCTGACTGAATTCACAATGTCATCCATAACAAGGCTGGATGTTTCCCTTTCATGAATATGAACCTCAAAAGCATTTGATCATTATTGTTATTATTCCATAAATTTGATTAAAGTAATATCAAAACACTGTTGGTATTAATAGGTTTTCTGTTTTAATCATTTATGATACTGGTTTTAAATTTTCATCGATAAAAATAAATGAATAAACTATCATCAATAATTGTATCCTGAGTTCTTTTGTTAATAAAGCCAACATATTATCAGCTATCATTCCTCTTTAAACATGCACACAAAACTTAGAATTCAAGATTTGTGCAATTAAATTAGAAGAAAAATAATTTGATATAAATTAGAAGTTGTGTTCATACAATGAGAAGTCAACACAACTACATCTGTATGTACTAATTAACCTACTACCTTCTGAAGTAGATGCAAATTTTTTTTCAGCAGGTCTGTAGATTTGGGTTTTCATGAGGTCAGTAGTGTCATTACAGTTCCCTTAGTGCATAGCAAATGTCAGCAAACGTTTCGTGCAAGTTCAATAAATGTTTATCACCAACTTTCTTAAGAAAATGATATTTGTTATTGAATTACCCATTCAATATGCGCTTTCATTTCTTATTGAAAAATTAAAGAATCATCCCAACAATAAAATAAATGTAGATTTACACAGTACAATAAATGACAAAACCACCGTACCAATAATTTTCATGGTCCACAGCAGGACAGCTCAGCCTTTACTTCATGTCACATACACTTAAACCTATAGTTTGCCATGTTTTCCTCTGATCTTATGTCTGATGGCCTGGTATGCTCGTGCACTTTGAGTGTCCTTGGCATGGGTCATGGCCCAACTACTTAATCACGTGTAACCAGTAGAGGTAATAGCATCAAATGTTTTTCTCACTACAATTTTAAACAGAAAGGAGCTAGCTCTGCAGCTGTTCCTGCATGAGTTTACTTCATTTTAACAGTGACAACCCTGCAGGTTTTCCTTGAAATTGTTATGTTAATTATGTTGAATTGGGAAAGAAACATATCAAGTGTGATTAAATTAAGAATTTTGAGATGGGAGAGTATCCTGGATTATCCAGTTGAGCTATAGATACAATTACAAGTGACCTTTCTATGAGGGAAAGAGACAATGTGACAACTGAAGTAAGATGCTAAGCTGCTGGCCTTGAAGATGGAGGAAGGAGAAAAGATCCAAGGAATGTAGTTATAGAAACTGGAAAAGGCAAGAAAAAATGGATTTTACCTAGAGCCTCTGGAAGGGAAGCCTCTCCTAGAAACCTCCAACAGTTTTGATTGCACTTTGATTGGACTTAATGGAACACTCTTTGAAAAGAATAAATAAGTATTGTCTTAAGTTTTCAAGTTTATGTTTATTTGTAACAGTGGACCTAGAAAACTAATTCAAGTAAACAACATCTTCTAAACCCATTCTGGCTTACTTTAATGTAGATAATGTAGATATTAGTAATAATAATACATGGTTTAAATGAAGATATTGGACAATTGTTAAACTACAAAGGATACCAGGTCATCATGTAACATGTAACCCTTCTATCAAGGGAAAATCAAGTATTTTTATCCTAGAGCCACCTGCCTCGTGCCTGGCACATAGCAAGGTTTCAAGTAAGTGAGCTTTCTTAGTTCCCTAGACAAGAAAAACCGTATGTGTGTGTGTGTGTGTGTGTGTATGTACACAAGTGTGTGTACATACACACACACACATATATGTATACAATTTTAGATTTACTTGTTGTTGTAAGAAACAACAAGAGTGAGTTATATTATGTTATAAAATGAGTTATCTCATTTTACCCATTTTCCCTCAATGGTAACTTGTGTAACTACAGTACAATATCACAAACAGAAAAATAACATTGATATCATCCATGGAACTTATTCACATTTCACCATTTTACATGCACTTAATTGTATGTGAGCATTTCGTTATATGACATTTTATCATATATGCTTTCCCAGACGGGATCTCACTAAACCCTACATCTATCTGAGAGCTGTTATCAAAAAAAAAAAAAAATGCCAGCACCAGGGAAACGATGTACCCAAGCCAAGCCCTTATGTTATGCCTGGCCCCCCATGTTATACTGCAGCTTTTGCAAAGCTTCTTCTTTCTTGGTCACATTACACATATTATTCTTGAGAAAATAATATATCATTAAAAAGTGGTATGGAGAATATATGAAATAAAATGAAAGGGGTGATGGTTTCCTTTTTCAAACCCTCAGAACTGACTCAATGACTATT